TTTGATTTATTTTTTGCTTAAAAGTCACAGTTCCATTCTGCATAAAATTAACACCTGTTATTTAATGAGGTCGTGATATTTTTTTTTCCTCCTCAAAAAGAATTATGGTCCAAGTTCGTCAACATGATGAGACAGTCCTTCCTTCCTTCGTTCCTTCCTTTCTTTCTTTCTTGCTTCCTTCCTTTTCCTTTCTTTCTTTCAATACTGTATACCATGAATAACCACTTTTGCGCTTAAGCAATTATACTACAGAACATCTTCCTTTTGGAAAATATAAACCCGTAAAATTGACCTGAATATAATCAACCCATATATCAAATATTTGTCGATCTCTAAAAAAATGTCGCGATCTTTCTAATTATTTGAAGACGTTGATTTTATTTTTACAAAAACTGTATTATCTACACGTTCCCTGTGAAGAGCAGATTCACCTTGGGACAAACCAACATAGCTTAGGATCTCCATAAGTTTGAATGATTCTTAACACTTCACAAGCTTACATGAATATCCAAGAATTTTTACGAGCCTCTATATCTATTTGAACCAATACAAACGTTTACAAGGTCATACTAGCTCGTTAGAGTGTGTGCGAACGTATGCGAACTTTAAAAATCTTGTACGAACCTTCTTGAGTTTGTACAAGCTGTTACCAGAGCTCGCACAAGCTTATATGAACATTCCCGAGCTTGTACGAGTTTACACAAGTCTGAACTGTTAAACAGCGTACAAACCTTCAACAGCTTGGGACAAACCAACATAGCTTAGGACCTCCATGAGTTTGAATAATCCTTCACAAGCTTATATGAATATCCAAGAATTTTTACGAGCCTTTTTATATCTATTTGAACCAATACAAACGTTTACAAGGTCACACTAGCTCGCTAGAGTGTGTGCGAACAACTGCGAACGTACGCGAACTTTAGAAATCTTGTACGAACCTTCTTGAGTTTGTGCAAGCCGTTACCAGAGCTTACACAAGCTTATATGAACATTCCCGAGCTTGTACGAGTCTACACAAGTCTGAACTGTTAAACAGCGTACAAACCTTCATCAGCTTGGGACAAACCAACAGCTTAGGATCTCCATGAGTTTGAATGATCCTTCACGAGCGTATATCAATATCCAATATTTTTTACAAGCCTTTTCATTTCTATTTGAACCAATACAAACGTTTACAAGGTCATAATAGCTCGCTAGAGTATGTGCGAACGTATGCAAACTTTAAAAAGCTTTTACGAACCTTCATGAGTTTGTGCGCGCCGTTACCAGAGCTTGATCAAGCTTATATGAACATTCCTGAGCTTGTACGAGCCTACACAAGTTAACAGTGTACAAACTTTCATAAGCTTGTACTAACTTGAGATCTTATGCGAACGTTTTTTCCCCATGAGCTCGTACTAACTCGCAAACATCTTTTTCCCTCGGCCGGTAGAGACGTCTTTTTAATAAAGTACTTGACAGGAAACGTGTTAATTAAAATGTTTTTTGACAATAATGGAATTTCAAAAACAGGTCACAAATAATATTTTCGTTGCATATTGTTTTTTTATTTACTCTCGATTCGATTTGCATTTGTTACAATTTACTTGCATTATAAAATTTGACTATTTATTATTGTATAATCACTTTGTGAAAGATTAGATTGTTATTATTTCTATATAATAACTTCGGATCGTATTTGTAAGTTACGGTCCCTAGTTTTAACTTGTCATAATCGAAATCAATCGACGAAAAATTTGAGACGTCGCAAGTGTTTGGGATTCGTGTCCGACCTCACGATAAGGGATTTTCTGCTAGAGATTCGAGTGTAAGTTGAAAATATTCCTGTAGACATTTTTTTTAAATCATTGTCCACTTTCAAATCGATATGTTTTTTTTTAGATTATGATCGTGCTTGTAGGGAATTTGCATAAAAATATCTTCAAATGATTGGAATACTAATAAAATTTATCAAAAATTGTCTGGTTAACTCGGTAAAAGTAAAAAAAAAATAATTTTGCGTACAAAAAGAGATTTTTATAAAAATGTCGCAATACAAATTTGGTGATAACTTTTTAGAGCCTACGTGATATTTATTGATTTATCCTTCATTTGGCTGAATATTTACTAAACTCAAGTAGCCCTCTGATGGCAATACCCTTGAACTACAAACTGGTTCTAAAATGGAGCTAGTTATTAAATTTGATTATTTTAATGCAAAATCCAAATCATATACAATCAAATACCATAATTGTAGAGAGTGACTCACATTTTTAACATAGACCTTTCCGGGTCTGAGTGGAAAGAAAATCGACGAGTCATAGGCGTGCGGTTATTATTAAAAATTATCTTCAGCATTTTAGAACGAATTGGTTGTCAAAAAATTATTTTTCTATTTTAAAGATGCACAAGGTGAGGAAAACCAGCAATAATAATTATCGAATACGTATATATAAATTTAAAAAAATTACGAAACCAAATAACAGCAAATTACTACTGCCTTTTCGACTGATTACTGATTCGATACACCTCGACATAGTGTAATTTCTTGAAGACGGGTTCGCAATTCTAGAACGGTTCTTGCGGGATTTGATCTGAGCTGTTTTTTCTGATATGCCACAACGTTTCAATAGGCGATATATTTGGGCTAGTGGACGTCCATTTTAAAAGTGGAATATTGTTTTCTAACATCCATTCTTTTACTTTTTTAGCCGTGTGACAAGCGGCACCATCTTGCTGGAAGATACATTCCATATTATTTAAACGCATTTTTTTAAATTGGGGGTTTTAAGTAGATTTTTAAGCCCATTAATATATTCATAATACTCCTTTAGCTGACATGGCTCCCTAAATTCTAACAGAACCTGGAAACTTAATTTTTTTTTAAGACAGTCATTCTGAAATACTTCTTATTTTGTTCTTATGACACGACTCCTATAATCAACAATGCATATTTTAAATTTGGCTTCATTCCAAATAATGGAGTTCTATTGGTGCGAAGACCATAACCGATGTTCCTTTGCCCACGCTAGTCTATTTTTCTTCTGAATCCTTGTCAGTAAGGGCTTCTTTTTGGCCTATAAAATATTGAATTAAAA